ACGTGGCGCGATACCCTGGGTACCAGAGGTTTTTCTCTCGTGCGGTGGGAATTTGCGGTGTTGGCCGAAGGCCGACACATCTTCGGCCGTAGGCCGAAGCCGCTTTTCGCGCGGGTCACTATAAAGACTTGAGAGAAACCGGAAACCGCGCTAGAAAAGTCTCTGGCACCCAGGGTAGTGGCGCGATGCATTTTGGTAAAAGGTACCGCAGTGCACTCTGCATGGTTAAATGCAATGCATTCTGGTAAAAAAAGTGTGGTTAAATGCAATGCATTCTGGTAAAAAGTGATGAATTCGAGAACTCGTTCCCCCTTATATATTTCCCTTAAATCCTGATTATGTTGCTGCTCGCTCCCTACGTCGCTCCGCAGCAATAAGGGGCGACGAATTCTCGAATTCATCACCTTTTACCAGAATACATAAAGTGCAATAAACAGCAAGAAAACTATGGTGTTTCCAGTGAAAAGATAGTACACCGTATATTAAATATATGGACAAACAATCTGAATTTCTATCATTTCCTACAATTTACTGTGGGAAAACCAGAGTTGATAACCACTTGTCGTAATGATCATTTTCTAAACAACGTTCCCACGAGTTCTTTCTATAGACTGATGGTAATTATTACTTTTCAACATGTAAATAGGACATTCAATGGCATTTTCGATTCTTTTAAGTCTCACGGCCAAACTATTGCCAGTATCAACAGAATGTGCCGCAGCATTACGATCTTTTAGATACCCTAGTATGCGTGCTGGTTACATTTTTTATTTGCGTTTTTCAGAATGTCTATTATTATGAAAGATTCAACCGATTTCTGTGATTTTTTGGTATACCAAATAAATAATGATGGAATAAGCGACGCGTTCGGCTAGCGCGATGAACACTCTGTATGAACTGCACTGTAACTCAGACGTTATCGAGTCAGTGCCGTCGAGTTCAACACATAAAGAAACCAGATAATAAACGGAACATTCAGGTAACAATTTATTTTTATAAGATCAATTCTTAAATATTTACGCTCATACAGCAAGGTTACAAGGAACATTCCGAGTGAACCACATCGGTAAAGATCGCGCGGCCTGTTTTCAGTACTTTCTAGTGTACAACTACGGATCGGAGTCATAAATCGAATGCCTGTTAAAACGTTTCATGTTCGATGGATTCTTTCCTCAAACCTCACACGACTTCCTGCACAATAAAAGATTGCTGTTCTCCTTCTGATTCCAAGCACTCGAGAGAGTAAATTGTTGCAGACAATCGGAGGTCATGTCGCAGATCAGCTTCACTCGCGTCCCATATTTAATTTTTAAAACCTAACCAAAAAAGGTACATCGTTGAGTGGAGCCAGATGACTCACATTTGATTCGTTTGTAGGAACACTGACCACAAATATGCCTTCGTGCACTTCTCCTCGATGACTTCGAATTTTCTCGACAACGCTTGCACAAAAATTTAAAATATGGCGTTCAAAACTTCCAAAATGGACCAAATAGCTCTTGAATACTGATATAATAGCTTTCTCAGGCATCTCAGGGTCGATGGAAGAGGATTTTTTCACCAAAAGCCAATCTTCAAAAAAACGTACGTTCTAATTAATTGAGCTGATCCTATGTAAAGCAAAAATCATGAACTTGTTTCCAGCTTCCCCCATAAAACAATGGGAATCAAACAGATCTCGTAGACAAGCTTTGTCGGTTTTTGATGTGAATAAAAGTTATGTTTCTTCATCGACTGAATCGATTTGCTGAATTCCATATATATCTGGCTCATAACTTGAAGCGTTCAATCTCCGGTTCTTTGATTTTTTTCTCTGCTCCTTTCTCTTTCTGGCTTCAGAAGTTTTAGATTTTGAGCCAATGTGGTAAGCACCCCGGTACTTAGCAAATGCTTTGTCTTAATCTTCAATCAAGCGATCAACATCCCAGCTTCTCGATACAATATAAAAGGTATTTACTTAAAGGCATCTATGGTAATTGTGGCAGTGAGGGGTGGTTCTGTGGGTGGGTGGGTGGTTGGTGGGAGGGGGGGTGCGACGTTATTTTTAACATAACAGAGGGGGGGTTAGAACTAATTATTTTTTGTTTTGGAGGGGGGTACTGTCTAAGTTTTTCCTAGATAACTCTAGTTTTTCAGCCCCCCCCCCCTTCTGATAATTATTGCACAGTCCCTAACAAGAGAGAATGAGCTGATTCTCTATTGCTAGTGCTGACTCTGTACCCCCATGAAAAAGAGTCGGGCTGATCATGGCGGACTTAATTAACTCCTCGAAAAGAAATTAAATTCGAATGACCACGAAATAGAGGGATTGTTGCAAGTTGTTTGCAAACCACGATTTAGTCTTATCTCCCTCCCTCAAAACATTAAATGGTACTATTATGCTTAGCTTAACACAAAACAACGAAAACCCTATCAAAAACTAAAACGCCATTAAGGCAGAGTTAACATTTTGGCCTCCATTTGTCTAAGATAGATAGAGAAAGATAGATAGTTTATTCAAGCAATTTTATAAAACTTTACAAAATCATACGTTCCTTTAACAGTGAATGGGAGTCTAGCAGGTAGTGTAACATATTTTCATACTGGTCAACTAAAAAATAATGTAAAGTGATTACTTGGTGGTTTCATTAGCAGGGAAGAATTTGCAATATCATCACAGAAAGTCACTGGAGTGAATTTTACGGTACTTGACTACTTTCTTCTCAGATCGCGGTTTTAGGAATATGCAAACTGACTTCAACAACTGAATGGTCCGAGATCACTGGATCAAAAACTGAAACGCCACCAATGAATATATCATCAGATTTAGTAATCACAAGATCAAGCGTTAACGTGGGAAGATTCAGTAATCCACTGTTTCAAATTATGAGGTTCCAAAATATCCAGAAGCTGTCTAGTATGCCAATTCTTGTCATCATCAATATAAATTGAAATCTCAAACAATCAGCTGGGAAGACGTCCAGGTGAATCAGCTAGCCACTCAATGGGATTCGAAAATTATTCAAAGAATAATGAAATCAAACGATGAGTAATTCGGCGGTCGATAGGCCACAAGAATTCTAATGCTCGAAAATCACGAAAATAAGCATCCATAAATTGAGTGTGATTGTTGATAATCAAACTTTCGTTGAACAATAATCTAACACCGGCGCCAACAACAAATGTCCTCGGAACATGAAGAAACCGGTAGCGAGAGGGACATAAAATGCCAACATCTATTTCATCAATGAACCATGTTTCAGTTATAGCATATCGATGTCATGGTCAACTACGAAGTCCTTGATTTTCATACCTGTTTTTCACTGATCGTGAATTCAGTATAATAGCCGCACTGCATACCTATTGTCCTGGCACGGAGAACTAAGTAAACTGGAGGAAACCGCGGCGGCCAGGACAATAGGCAAGCCGAATAATGAGGGTATGCGAAGTTAACCGCCACCAGGGGAGGTGAGAGGGGCCAAACTTTGAAGTCACTTCGACTAAGCTCGGTTGAATTGGCCAAGAGGCGGGCAAAAACCAAGCAATTCTAAGCAAGGGCCTCAATGCATCATATCAATAGCGAGCAGACCCACATGACGGAATTTTTAGGAGTTTCTTATTTCCCGCGTCGCGGGCCAATTATGTATACTGTGAGAATAGTAACGGTAGGTTGGATGGTTACTTGAAAAGCTTACATTGCAGCTAGTGACCAATTTCAAAAACAAGAGGGACACTGAGCAAGGCCAAACTCAGTGTGACTAGCTAATATAGATAGCACACTTCTTACAACACTGCGACTATGGATTAGCATTTGCAATCCAAGTTAGTGGGTTCTTGGTTCTTGTTTGGGCAACCAACATGACTTTTGACTGATCGTAGTTTAACAGTAAACCGGTCATAATAATACTGTTTCTCAAAAAAAAAAAGAAAGAAAGACAGAAAACCTGGACAGATCTCTTTCTTTTGAAAGTCAGTCTCAATTTGAGGATATTAGATGAGGTGTACAAAAAGAAATTCCATAGACTATGTTTTTCATAACAACCGCGCCCTTTAATTCTCAAACTCATCAATAACTTGTAGTGTTGGAATAATAAATACCGTCGACGCCCAATAACTGAAAGGAGTTCGAAAGGAAAAAACCGGAAATAAGAAAATGGGATGGGGAATGAATGCAAGTAACATGCACACCTCAAACTTGTGAAATACACAGTGCTGGACACTGTGTTTAAACTGGACTGACAAAAAAGTAAAGACAAAGAATACATGGTTGTTATAATAATTTCAATGTTTCGGACTGCAGCAGTACACTTTTTCGACTTGTCAGGCGCTTAAAGCATGGTTCGAGTTATATTAAATTTGGATAGAAATGATCTGAAGGGAAGCAAAAATAACTTCGAGTGAGCGGGAGGTTCGAGTTATCGAGGATTCGAGTTACCGAGGGTCAAGTTTATAGTAAATGTATGAGTGAAATCCAGGGGAAATCGACTTTGGTTCGAGTTAGCGCGAGGTTCGAGTTAGCAAGGCTTCGAGTTATCGAGAGTCCACTGTATATAGTTTTCATATACTTGATACATTAAAACTAAGTACTGACTTTGGGAACTTAGATTTTCGAATAGTTTGATTTAACCATTATAAGCTATTACTGATCAATGAGCATCAATAGTTACCAATAATAACTAACAATGGTTACCCACACGGACAGAACTACAAATCAGTTGTTGCCGGTACTGTCCCTTTAAATGTCGGTAACTTTGGTGCAGAAGACGATTGCTGACACGAATTTCGCCAGGTGGAGATAGTGATAAAATTTCATAGTGTTTCTCAGTAATTTTGCGTTTCATGGTTCACAGTCCCAAGATAAACCACACAAAAATAAGCCCAATCTACTGGAATGAGTTTAATATGGAAACAGTAGAGGCATAAATATCATTTTATTTCACCTTCTCTATGAAGGGAAAAAATCTTTAATTTCCTCTCAAAATTTACCTTAAGTTAATCTTGAATGTTAAAATAAAACAGTTGTGAAAGACAGCGACAACGCCAACACCAACTAATTTTTACTATTTTCCTTCTGTCCCAGTCTTTTGCTTATACCAGGGGTTCCCGCAAAATCCAGCGTGAACTTTCGAGTGGCTTCTTCTTGGTCGTGTGATGGTCTCAAGCTTGGAGTTGCAGCACGGTGGACTGACTCCCCAACACATGAGTCAAAAACGTGAAACTCTCCTAACGAACAACAATATTCGATCAATAATAGAAACCCATAATAGGCAAGGAATAAGGATGCCCCATATTATGCCAGTTAAAGTTTAAAAAGTGGATTATAATTTTTTGTTTTTTTCACTTTTTTTTCTTTCATGCGAGATAAAAGAATGCAGAAAAGCAACGACTTGAACGGCTAACGTTAACGTGACAGCTTAACGGAGGTGTGAAGACTAATATCGGGTGATCAGTAAAGGGTTTTGTCATCTCTGGGCCAGAGGTTTGGGGACCAGCATAACATACAACATATGTTGTACTCTTTGATTCACCTAAACTGTAATATATAGGGAAATGGACAATGTCAGCTCCATAGCAGCACATACAAAACCGTTGAGAGAAGCATTTTAGAAAGAATACTTGTCAATCAACCTGTAGGACATCGAAGAACATCTTCCAAACATGCGGTTGGATGATGACTACGTTCTCAGCACTTTCCAGAACTAAATACTTTGATTAAAGGTATCGCCAAAATTTGCCTTCGTTAAACAAGGGAAAGTCATTTCGCTCATGATTTAATACCAAATAACTCTTTTTTGTTTAAAGTTAAAAGAGGAAAGGGATTAAGGCTCAGAAACATTTGTCGAGAATGTGGAGAAGGGTTACGTCATTTTTCTGGCTGGTTTTACTTGACACAATACATAAACTACACATACATGAATAACAGACACCAATAGTGTTCTTTAAAATAGAAAGTATTGAAAATGAAACGTTTGGTGTGGAAATGCCAACCTCGTCCCCAGGGTCTTCTCGGTTTCCAATATGGCGGCGGCAGGAGAGAAGACCCTGGCACACAGCAGAAATCACGTGACTGATTTGTCCACCGAGAGTGGAAATTTATTCAAAATGGCGGCCAAGCTAAAGAGTGAGAGGATCTGGGTACGAGGTCTTGAGACCTGGTGAAAAACAAACAAAATGGCGGCAGAGGCAAACTCAAAGAAGCTAAAAATATGAATGAATGCACTTACAAGCCACAGGAATACGGTAGAATGATATAGCGATCTTATTTTCTGTTCAATGACCTGGGTTTAGTTTTAAGCCTGAACGTTCTAGCGTACACGGCACTTAACAACTGTCTACAACTTAATTTCTCGATACCGACCTTTCTTCACTGTTTTCTTTTTTTGCCTACCCTGAGTGCCAGAGGTTCAGTTTTCTTCTTTCGTGAAAGGGGGAGCTTTTTTTAACCGTGAGCGCAATTTATTTGATCTTAGGGAATTTCGAGAACAGACCTCTGAAGCGAGGGAATTTTTTGTCATGACGCTCTAAAACTTCTTCCGCTCCGAAATTCAACTAAGCATTAAATTGAGTCGCAGACACGTTGAGCTGATAAGTTATCGTCAGTTTTGTTACAGATCTTCATGAGGTTTTTGACTATTGTTTTTCTATTTGCACACATTTTAACGGAACTCTGATATGTAAAAAAACAATTTTTTTCTGAAAACAGAGCCGCCTGGTTAGCTCCGGGGAGAGCACCGGTCTGTTGAGCGGGAGGTCGCGGGTTCAAGCCCCGGCCGGACCAACACTCAGGGTCTTAACAATAACTGAGAAGAAAGTGCTGCCTTTGTAATGACATCTGCAAATGGTTAGACTTTCTAGTCTTCTCGGATAAGGACGAAAAACCGTAGGCCCCGTCTCACAATCCTTGCCTATATTAATACTGTGGGACGTTAAAGAACCCACACACTGTTCGTAAAGAGTAGGGGTCGTAGACTCCGGTGTTGTGGTCAACCTTGATATACGGATCCTTTGCGTGATGCTGTACAGGCTTTGCGAAGTTATATAGTAGAAGTAGAAGTAGACAAGAGCCATAGAACACTATTTTGTTAATATAATTTGAGGGAACTTTGGTTGAAAATTAAACAGGTCCTTGTTCAGTTTGGATATTTTGTCACTTGATCTGGTACAGGTAATAAAATTATTGTCATTCTTGATCTACTTCACAGTTTTTAGACTTTGTTATTCGCTTTTGATATCCTTCTAACCCTGTTCACAATGCTTCCGGGCAATAGAGATAGGGGCCTTATTTAATCTAGAGCAAAGACGCTGGTATTAGTCCCCCACAAAAAAAATGCCAAGTGAAAAGCCCAAGTACAAGAAGGTTGGAGGTCAAGCAGGTGAGGATCAAAAACAAATCCGAACTTCCAGTTGGTGAATAAACCATCCTGGATCGGTCCACACAAAGTTTTACAGTCGTCATTGATTGATACAGTCTTTTATGAAGAATAAGAAAAGGGGGGAATTTGGGATGGGGGTTAAAAGAGACGGGGGCTTATTGTTAAAACTTTCCGATGAAAAGGAGGGCTTATTTGAGAGAGGGGGCCTTAATAGAGGATTTAAGATGTTGTTATTATTGTTTTTTTTTTGCCTCTCAGATGTAAAAAATGAAAGGCATTAACCCCACTTTAGTAGCTAGCAAAAGGTGAAGAGTGTTTCCATTGTTTGTAATATAGCAATCCAAAAGTATTCTCCACTTTGAAATAGATTCGATTTTTAGAGCAAAAACTTTCTTAATCCCTGACTTTGGTTTATTTTACATATTACTTGTTGACAAATAAGGACATTAATACACCTGTGTTGTCTTTTTGATGGGCTCTTAATGTAGTTTATATGATGTTAAGTTGGTTTAACTATGTGACAGATAAGCCTCTGCTTGCAGGGTAGGTTTTTTGTTTTGTTCACTTACAAAATTATTTTCAGTGTTGAAAATGGCGCACAGGGGGCACAACACTATAATCTACTATAATCGATTATCAGTTTAATAGTTGTGTTAATCTGATTATTTCTGATGATATAATTATGATATAGACACTATGACTAAGACTAGCCAACTCCTTAAAGTAGACTTTGGAAGTATTTAAGCCAGCACATCTAACAGCTGCAACCTCACAGCCCAAGACATAAACAAGCTAAAAGCCTTGCCTTTTCCCTGTGTGGTATTTTCTCAAGCCTTCTTGGTCAATTCATTTCAGTGACTTATCTTAGGCAAACTGGAGGGAAATTGTTTCAAAATTTTGCTTGGGACCACGTGACCCGAAACTCATTGGTCGTGACTAGGCAACTAAAAGCTCACTATGCTAGTGGGGACTCTGGTGCAAAACACTTCAAAAGCCTTGGCATCCCTACATGAAAAATCCCATGATCAAGACACTGCAGGTCCTTTCCGCTCTTGTTTATTGAGTGGATAGTGATATATGCACCCTTTGAAGCAGTTTATGTTTGTAAATCCAAGTTTTAGAACTGATTTATAGCTGTTTCATAATCATACCCAGCTGGTTTTGGAATAGTACAGTACCAGCCACTATTTCACCTGGTCCACAAACCCCCTTTTCAAGCATATAGTGACAAGAACAACATGCACACTTAGCCTACAGTAATTAGAAGCTCAATTGACAGGTTTAGTTTGACAGAAAACGTATTTATCTTAGGGTCACTGTCACCCCATGTAAGGGAATCTGGAATCTGGGAAATTTTTCTCGTGGAATCTGGAATAAAGGGCAAGAATTTTTAGTTTTGTTTCGACACCTGCCTCTGTCGCTGCTCATCCCCCTTCAAAATCACAGTGGAAAAAATTAAAAGAAGGCCAGGTTAGGCCCATGCATGTTACGATCAAATGAAAAAAAATGTTTCACTAGACAAAAAAACTGCTGAGACAAAGCGCAGATTATGCAAGATTTCCGTATAACCCCATACATCAATAATATTATGCATACAGCTTTTGTTCAAAGAAAACAAAAAGCAGAACAACACTAAACCTTTGCAAACGGACAGCTAAATTTATTGATAAGCTGAAGCCTTGCAAGTATTCTTTGACAAATCGGGAATTAAAGAAGCAAATCTTTAGTAATTTAGAACACAAAAACCAAATAGCACGAGCAACAGAAATACCTCTACGCGTTGTAATATTCCCAGCGATTACCATTTCAGATATCACTATATTCGAATCTTTGCCTTCCAACGGTACAGTCACAGTTTTCCGAACAATCAGATCTGAATTCTGTCCACCTTTTAGGTCTGAAACACTGAAGAAAGCACTTCTCAGCCTCTACGGAGCCCTCAAAGGGTAACCATCTTTGTTTTGGAAGGAATGAACCAATGAGAGCGCACGTATGAACGCGTAGTGGAATGCACCAATCAGCGATCGTTTTAGTTCGCTGTGTGCCAGGGTCTTCTCTCCTGCCGCCGCCATATTGGAAAGCGAGAAGACCCTGGGGACGAGGTTGTGGAAATGCTACCAGCAGAGAACAATAAACATTTTAATAAATTAACGACTGCTACAGAACTCTCCTCCAGGAAACTAGCTTTCAGACACATACAAGAAGTGTATACGTACTTTCTGCTGGATATCTGATATCAGCTGCACTTGCTGTACGTCGAATTAATTCTGCGGAAGATGCAACTCGAGTTTTAGTTCTTGGAGGTTATTGTATTAAGAACATTTGATTCTAGTAAAACACATAATTATTGCTTGCTGGTGAGGACACCTAAGATCGCTAAAAAGCTGCATCCAAAAAGGTAACAATGGTCCTTTCCACCAATATTGTACAATTATTTTCTTTAAGATAAGTTGTTCGTTTTTTGTTGCCTAGAATTATTAAACTCGAACGCCATTTCTTGTTTCGCAGATATTATCACTTGTTTGCCCCTTGAGAAACCACGTGACTTCGGTTAAATCCCATTAGTCCTTGAGCGCGTGAAGAGATATCGTAAATGAGGTGAGCACCTCCCAGACATGTGTTCATCAGATTCAAGTTTAAACTATGCAGTATTTATAGATATTCAAGTTAAAGCTTAAATTAGGTGACGTTGCCTCCTTTAATTAAATTCTGCAAATCTGAAAGAGTTTTACCTGCACCAGTTCCAAGAGGTATCTCAAATATGTGTTTCATTTGTCCTCCGGTCCCTCTTGACTCCAAGAAGTGTTCGTCACGTCCCTCCAACACGGAAGGCGTTATGCTTTTTCTGAGGGGAAAAAAGTACACTCAAGTTATCACAAATATCTATATTAATTCGCTAAGTTCTTCGTCTGGAAGAATCCCGCCAACATGTAGAGGAAATCTTCTGCCAAAGTACAATATCTAACCGCCAAGCCATCCACCGGATCACGAGTCCCTGATTGTTTTGAAGACTTTTAGCCCACCATACGTTCTATTCGTCAAGTTGTATGAACTCGTAAAAATCAAATGAATAAACCACTCAGGGGCACACAACGACGCTTTCCTCCTTAATACTGATTGAAAACACTTTTTAGGTTATCCAAAGTAATTTTGCATGTAGATCGCTAGAAATGCATTCTAAGGTGCGCTATAAAATTTGTACCTGTTCGGTCATCCTGGGGGAACTTCAGTCTTCTGGAAATTACAAGGGCTCGAGTGTTATTTTTCCGAAAATTTTAGATGAAATTTGACCTATTACGAAAGTGAGGCATTTCTTATTCCTCTCTCCATCGCACCGCTGTCCTCACGAGTAATAGAAAATTCTAGGCATTATTTTTCTTCTCGGAACAGGTATTTTACAGAAAACAGTCATTGGGTGTCCCTGACAACTATTGTTTTCAGTCCACGAAAGTAACAGAATTCTAGCTGTTTGTCACTTTTAACCTTGTCCGTGTGTGGTGATCGTATATTGGGTGTCCTGTACCCTTGCTTGTAATTCACTGTGGGAAGTGTGTGAATAAATGTGCGTTGTTTTTCTGAGTGTAATCCGTAATCATCGAGGCCCAGTTTGGCGTGCAGACACTACACCGGGTACACTAAGCGTTCAAAATAACCTGAAGACTGAATGTTGCATCATTTAGAATTGTGCTATTTCTTTTAGAAAGACCTTGTCTCTAACCAGTTACTTACCTCCTAAGAGAGTCGTACATCCCCTGTATTTGTAGTAAAAAGAAACAAATTTTTGTTTGAGGTTTTGCTGTTATGCATTCAAACAATGTTTGGAAGTATCTTCACAAATTTAGGAGCCCAACAAATTCAAGGACTCACTAACAAATTGCAAACACCATATCAAACATATCTACTTACTTTACGAGTCTAGATTACAAATGATAAAATAACACGATAGCACCAAAAAGGAAACATAAAACGGAAGCCTTAGTTGTCCTCTAAGGAATGGTTTTGGATACAAAGAAGCCATACTCGCTGTAAATACATTTATTGACCACTCTGCCTTAACGGATTAGGACTACTTTGCCAAAGAACATGAAATTGCCATACGCAGAAGGCGCTTGTGCTAGAACGGGGTAGATTCATGGATATTTTTAGCCATCATGAAAAGCTTATTGAAATTTTAGGACATTTTATAGACGCACCTGCAGCTTGAGATACTGTCTATTCTTTTCCATTAGCTTTTCTGACAGTTCATTACATCGCTTTTTTGCGTCGTCCAAATCCTTCTTCTCAGCTTTCATAACCAAAACATGCAAGTTAATGGCTGCAAATGTTATTTATAATAATAATAATAATAATAATAATAATAATTCAACTGACACGCAATAAGCAGTCTTTAAAGAGCCCTTTGTACCATCAGAGTACATATCTAATTACAACATGTTATCTAGAGTACTTTAATATATTATGCTTTAAATGTCTGAAAAACAAAAATAACGCCGGATATGCCTGTAAGACTTGGGGTCTACCATTCGACTTTTGAGGGGTGGGGGCGGGATAGGTGATTTGGTTTGGGTAAGAATCTTTTCCCCAAACCCCTGGAGCGAGAAATTTTTCCCGGAAATATAATGGTGTAAGATTTTTTTCAAGTATACGCCATGAGAGATATTTTTTTCAGTGCAGGATATTTTTCCCCATGTATTTCCTTGCAAGATATTTTTTCCGTCGAAATCAATCTGCAAGATATTTTTTTCTGAAATCACCCATAACCCCTCAGAAATCGAACGGTCGGCCCCTTATAACTAGTTGTAGAGGAGCTGGAAATGTAATTTTAGAATGCTAATAGGCCCATGAAACAGTCGGTGTTTCGTGGGCACCGTTACTGCTTCACCCAAAGCCAGTAATGGTGCCGCCAATGGCTTTCAATACTTACTTGACGCTTGCGATTTTAATGCTGTTGAATTTATTAAGTGCAGTTAAGGAACCACTGATTTTCAAGGATGGAACAATATCAAGAGCTCTCTTGAACAATACGTTGTGTTAGATAAATAGAGATATAACTTAAAGAGTAGACTTGCCACAAGTCGACTACGAGAGTGCATGAAGGCGTGAGCAAAAGCGAGCGATGTAAGTAACCAACATAAACCGGTATAAGGCTGTAAGAAAGTCTTCTGAAAAAGTGCAATTCGGTAAAAAGAAATTTCCGTTGGATAATCAAATTGTCTGTGTCATTTCGTTTGTTGTCGAACAATCTTTCCCAATTATTTCAATTCTTAACCTTTGCTTGCAAGCAAAGGCAAAAAAGAAGCTTAAAGGACTGAGTCATAACTTAACTTTCCCTTCGCTGTGAAATCTTTTAGTTGTACAACCGCTACAAGCAGACCCTAACTTTTTGGCGGGGAGTCTATTTACTTGTTAAAATAACAAACAAAAAGAGAAAAATGACGCTGGACGGATTTAAGCTAAGGAATCTTCGGCGATTTTTTTTTTCCATAAAGTTGTCAAATGATCATGTGGACAGTTTTAATTTTAGTCCTTGATACTGCACTTTCCCCTTTCACCGGCATACCCTGCGAAAACCGCCTCTTTGATATCTGCCCTGTCATTCTTTTTCACGGCCAGTTTATTTAGCTTAGCGCATTCTAGGTGCCGTCTTTTCTTCTGGCCCTCCGATTTGGTCCTATTTGGTTACTAAAGGCAACAATCAACCTAAAACCTCTAGCTTACAAACAATAGGCATGAAACGGCAAAACAGACTGGGTCCAGTTGTTCGAGGGCCGATTAGCGCTTAACCCGGCGTTAAATTTAACCCCAGTTTCCTTTTCTTGTGTTCAAAAGCATTTTCTCGGATAATTTTCTCTGTTGATTTAAGAGCTCCCAATCATCAACTTGAAGACAAAAAGAATTAAAACTGAAATGCTTTTTAAGCTTCATATCTGAATTCAAACCTAGCACTAACCCTGGGTTATCTTAACCTACAAGTAGCTTTGAACAACTCGGCCCTGTAATTTAAGGATACAATTGAGTTCTGTTTGCACTTTTGAGAGAACTTGACTGTAGTACTGTTCTAACTGAGTTGTCTTCTCCTTAGCCTTGTTAGCTACATAATCTTGATACATTCTTTCCTGATGTGTCTGCAGGAAAGATCAGTAGGATAAATAGTACTGGTTACCACATTGTTTAAGAAACTATTGTAGCCTCGTGACTCGAATAAAAATCATAATAAATGATAATAATGAAGAATGAATGAAGAGTCGTGGATGAGAGGACAACAGACGTGCCCTCTTACAATACATTTTAACATGTGAACAATAAGCTTGGACGTTAGCATACAAAGGCGCCACTGCAGCCGCTCTCAGTCCATTTGTGAGCTTACTGTACCCACCCAACCCATGATGTGAATGATGTGATGAGTGAACGTTGACCACAACACCGAGGTCTACGTCCCCTACTCTTTTCGAACAGTGGTGAAGGTTCTTTTACGTCCCACAAGAACAGATCAGTAAAAGTGCTGTGAGACGGGACCTACGGTTTTTCGTCCTTATCCGAGAAGACTAGAACGTCTAATCGTTTGCAGATGTCATTACAAAGGCAACACTAGTAAAAATAACATTTTTATTAAGATCAATAAATAATAAAACCAAACAAAAGACAACAAAACAAAACAATACCCCCCTAAGCAACTTGCTTACTAATCACCCTCACTAATTTAGCTGTATTTCAATAATTCATTTTCCTTACTTGGTATGTCCAGAATGCCAGAGCCCTCGAGCAAATCTCCATTATCACTTCAGGTTTTTGACCAGCCAGTACCATCTACAAAAGAATTAAAGAAACTCGCAGCTTTATCAAATTCAGTTACAGGCTCAAGTACGTGCACATGTACATATACATTTCGTACCATTCATTCAAAAGCTTTTTAATTATCAGCTACCTGCATTAGCAAGTTCTAAATACAACCTTGCCTAACCTCAACAAATATACTTATCACAACTATCCCCTCATATTCTTATCCGAAGGACGTGAGAACTGACGCAAGTGTCAAGGCTAGGGGCGCTTCAAGCTCTTTTCTTTATTGTTAAGTTCTTGCCTTGCCCCTAAAGTAACGTGTGATGAAGCCCTAAGAACGCCTGCGTGAGGCTAAGTTCTTGTCAGTTTGCGTGAAAAAAAAAAATAGAAAAAGCTGTGAAAAATCCACAAAACCAACTGCAACACTACCACTGCGCATTCGTTCTTATCTAGCATCTGACATGCGATGAGATTTTCCCAGTTTACAGTAATGTTGCGGGCTCAAAGATACAAGTTAGGAAAAAGGTGTAAATATGAAGCAAGGAGGAAGAATACCAGTAGCCAAACAGTGGAATTAATTCAAAAATTTTTTTGGAGAGAAATCTGGGGAAAAGTCATTAAGAATAGTTTACCTTTTACCGTGGATCTATTTTCGTTTACACCAGGCTTTAGGTTGTCAGGAAATGGTATCTGATGTTCGTAGGCTGCCTGCGATATCCCTAGCTCTATTTCTACCTCTACAAGTACCTCTATGCTAATGATGTACTTGTTAAGGATTGCAGAAGCATTAGAATTATTTTTAACAATTATTTGTTTATTTACTCAGCTTTTTACCCATTCTTGGCAGGGTAGAGTCCCTCCCCTACTCTTTACGAACATTGTGTGTTATTTAACATCCCACATAACATATATGTGTAAGTAACACCGGGCCTGCGGTTTACAGTCCTTATCCTTAGGATACCCTGCGAGCAGAGGCTACATTTTTGCTGTGTGAAATAGTATGCGAAAAGTAGCGCACCCCAACTCATACCTCGAAAATGTAGCCTCTGCTCACGGGACTATATCCAAGAAGAGTAGAAGGTCTAACCATTTGCAGATGTCTTTACAAAGGCAGCACTTTCTCCTCAGTTATTTTACAAACCACAAGTGTTGGTCCTGCCGGGATTTGATTCAAGGGCCTCCTGCTTATACAGTTGGGCTAACCGGGCGTCGGTTAAACGTTTATAAACTTTTCATGCCTTGTAGAAAAAAGTCTCTACAATCAACACAGAAGGTCATACTAGTCAAGAAATCACAGACTTACTGATTTAAATTGCTCTGAAGCTTGCAGATCAACCCGAATGACATCAAATTTGGCAGACAGGTTAGTCTCACCTGTCAATGAAAAAAATATGAAAAGGCAGTTTTAATTAATTCAGGGACAATACAATGGTGTACTTATCATTTTACTAAACAAGACTTACATGCAGGACACACAAGCTTCTTGTTAAACTCTCTTGTTCCATCCTCATCACAAAAAATATCTTTTCATGTTGTCAAGGATATTGAACAGCATATTCTATTAATTTCAAACCCTTAGCCTAACTCCTGATTCCTAGTTTTACTTGCAACTTTAATTTTCATTAAACTGTAAACTGGTTAACTCTTTTCTACCCAGTTCAAGATAATTTCTCTTGTATGGGCTAAACAGATTTAAAAATTCTTTTCTTAAATAAGGATTCATTGCTTTTATTTTGTCCCATATTTTCTCAAAAATTAAACAGTCTTGACTTTTATGTTGAAATTGGCCAGTAGACTTAGTTCCATCAATCTGCAGTTAGCCCGGTCCTGCTATTCTTTTTTAGGTCAGTATTTTCCTTATTTTAAATGACATAATATGGGTTGCAAAACTATTGAAAACCCACTCGGGACTGAAACAACTATTTGAAATAAACATAACACTGATAAGAATCCCAACTGGCCGGAGGCAAAACAGTTGGCTGTTTACAAGCATGGTCAAGAAGAAGAACAAGGGTCTACCGAGGACAAATCCAGCAATCAATATTAGAGCAGGAGTTGAACTCATGGCCTCCAGATTGCAACTGCAGTGCTCTAACCACTCAGCCACTCTGCTTGCTTTTTCTTAAAATGTTTATTGACCTCATATCATAGCTTTATAATTTTACCACAAATATATACATGTTTGAGTGGTTTATTTACAACTGTGCCCTTTTGTCCCTTTTGCTCAGCATTTTCTGGACCTGGTATTTAAATTGCAGGTAGCAAACTTTGGTGTTTAAGTGCTCCCGACAGAAAAGCAATACTATCACCCATACAGGTATCACCAAAGAAATATCTATACAAAACAAAGCAAGCATTGTCATACTGTGTTGCAGACAGGCCATTTGATGTCAAAATTGTTAACACATTGACTGTAGCTCTTATTTCGTTGTCTGTTTTAGTACAGTTTCTTCGAGAGGTCAAATACCTGTAAAGCCTGTACATGCCACACCCAGAATGGTTTTCTTTTTGGCTTTAATTCTAATTTTCAGACGAGCAACCATATCTCTTTCATGTGGAAGACCCCCCGCAAAACCAGCTTGATTAGCTTATATTATTTGCCTATGCTGTGGGCTTGTTTATAACCTGCCAGGGTGCAAAGAAAGTCCGTTTTACAACCCGCCATTTGGGCAAGCTGTAGCTAGCATGTACTAGCCCACAAGTCAACTAGCCCCAAACCCTTTTTGATTTGCAGGATTGATTACAATCCTTCTGTAATTTGAATTTCCCCAAAAAACAGCACTTGCCCATCAGGCAAGTTAAGAACAAAAATCACTAGCCCAATAGCAAAATCCACTAGCTCCGGGCTATCAGACACAACTTTCTTTGCACACTGCCTGCTAGGGGTCCCGTCTAGCTTGTGGTATGCATGCCTCATTAAGCTGGAAATCAACAGACATGAATACAACTTTTTCAGCAGTATATAAATATGGATATAAAACAAAAGGGGTGACAGCATAAACATTCATTCATTTTTTTAGCATGGTCAACTAACTCTGAACACAGAATTAATGATGAAAGGAATTCTATTTGAGAGGTTTTCTAAAATTAAAAAAGGATACGAGAGCATGAGGTAACCTAAAGAATGAAGACAAAGTTTCAAACTGTTAAAAGTTGGAAAATACAAAGCTTTTTGACAATTACTACAGTTAATTCCAGAGTCTTGATAAATGGCAGTCATTCTGTGTTACGAACTGAATTAAGGAAACAGGCTAATATTATCAGTTTTTATTCCAGTAATACTTTTTGGACATGAAAGGACTGTAACATCAGCACAAACTCTTGGGATAATTGACATTTTTCCAATCAATTAGCAATTTAAACCCCAATTAGCTTCTCAAAGAAGGGAAATTTCACAAACGTCTCTAAATGTTTGTCACTCTTCAAAGCCATATCTGAATTAATTCCCAACACATTTTCTAAAACTTGGTACCCATAAACAAGTCACTGTCTTAAAAATGCTCTTTTTGATAGAGGCCCACTAATTTGAAACTTTTTTATGTAAAATGAAAACTTGCGAAAACCTACTATTTTATTCAAGATATTATTATAAACATTAAAAACAAAACAGCAAAGACTAAAACGACTTGAGATTTCCCGATATAAAAAAAGTGGTCTGGGCTATTTAAGTTGGATTCTTACCCAAGCATACGTGTTGAGCCTTTTTCTACATTTCCTGAAGTTGCAGAGAAGGTCATTATCCATCTTTACTGAGGGGAACTTTGCAATCAGCCCTTGATCTCGTTATCTCACTATCAAATAACATAAGCTAAGCTTTAGAACAGTGAATCGTAACAAAAGTAGTTACCGGATGTTTGGTGAGTGTTGCAAATATCCAAAAGTCCTTTTAAATTAGCCGTCTAAAACGAGTTCTTAGTCATGATAAAGACACACTTTAATAACATCAACCACGTTATGGCTTACAGGTTGTTGAGACGAGCTTTTCTATAACTAAGCTCACTTTCAGTGTTTCTTTCTCTTTTTATTTTGTCCGATTCAATTTTTGTCAGGAGTTGAACACGTCACTTTATAGTCTGCAAGTTTAGATTCTCCTATCTGTGTTTTCACCTACGAAGGGTCGAAGACGCAACGAACAAAGAATAAATAGAATTATCGTACTAAAGAACAGCACTTACCGTTCTTTACTTTTCCAAAATACTTTCCTTAAGGCGATTTTTATAGCAAATACGATAACTTTTACCCCCTTGCTTTTACCTTCCTCGAAATTTCGCGGGTAAATGAAGCCTTAGCGCATGCTCTAAGACAAACTCGACTCATGCTCTCTCGGTCTTTAATTTTTTTTTTCCGCTGTTCATAGTTGACGTGGACTCGTTTTTTGTACAAATGATCCTTCTTCGAAGCTTATTTGTTGCTTCGCTTGCTGGTTATTTGAGGTTTAGCTCAAAACGTGTCCTCATGGCTGCGAGTTCCTCACCTGGAGATTATTCTTCTGCTTTCGTGACCTGTCCAAAAAAGGATGTCGCTAAGAAAATAGCAAGGTTCGCCTGCACGTGCTGCATCATTTCCCAGACTGGAATCATTGTAAAAAATGGCCTCGGTGGAGTGTCAGTTTTCGACAGCTATCTGAGTAACTGGGCGACTGTTACTGCCGATAGCGACTTTTCATACATTCCAAATGATAAGAACTAACCGCTCTAGATCTAAGCTTATGCTTAATGATTGCAAACTTGACTTTACTTGAAACAAAGTTTTTAAGAAGAATGGGATACCCTTTTCGTACGTACTTTGGTCTTCCTAAGCCAGTTCGGCAGTTCTCAGGTCCTGATTGGGCAGAAGATAATTTCTGTTAGTCAGAATGAAGAGATGCAATTGCTTCTGGAACTGGTTCCGTTACAGCAGCTATATCCAGGAGCCCTACAGTAGCTTCTGTTACCAGAGATATCAATGTTAATTTGGAGATGGGGGTATGGGCATAGGTGTGCCATTTGAACACTTACTTTGTTCCATCGCTGGGGCTTTAGACCACAAATTTGCCCCCTAATAGCACTTTTGTTATCCCCAGAAAGGGATATTTTATCAAATTTGATCTAATTTCAGTCCCAAGGGTCAGGAATTTTACCAAAAAATTCAAATGCTTCACCTACTGTATGCCTATACACTCACATTCCCCCTCCCCCCTCCCCTCGCTGTCCGAACGTTGATACCTGCATAAAAAGTGCAACAACTTCACCAATAACTGTCCTGTCCTACTTACTTTCCTCTGGGTATTTGAGAAGGCTGCAAGCAATATTTGATTTGTACCATTTTTCTGTGATCTCTCGATGAAGTCAGGGTTTAACACTGTATCAAAGAGGGGGCTATTTCCCAACCAGAAAAATGATGACTGTATTAACGAAAATATCAAAGGACTGTGACATATGCAAATAATACAATGCCATCTGTCAACTTGATATATCAGTCATAGTAATACATGTATGTCTAAATGCTAAGGCAATCAATGTTGCTGGTGTTGTTTTTTTAGTGGACTTGTGGAAAACAAGATTGCTGCTTGTGTGAACATTATTCCTGGAATTACTTCAGTGTAAGTAAGTGTGCTCAAGTTGTAATGTATTATAATGAATTGCTTAAAATGGCCAAATTCCTTTCTAGTCTACCGGTGAGCATCTGAGCACTTCAAGACGCTATCAGAGATTGCTCAGATCAGCACTACTAGATGTTTTGCTGCAAATTTGGTCAAATGTGTCCCTTATGCAGGGTGAGATGACAATGTAAAAAATTGCTTCCTCTTCAGGAAAGCTGTTAGTGATGTTTCAATAACTTGGAGCAGTTGTGCACGCCGGCCAACCCCCTTATTAACCAACATTTACTTAACCTGGCAAATTAATACAAAAGAATTTTTTACTTCTTGGTTAATGTGTAGCTTGCGTCAAGACATATCCTATTTCCTTTGTTACTTGCAGTAAAGGGACATCTGCATTCTGTCAGTTGTTGTGTTCCAGTTTCTCAAGACCTTGCAATCTTATAAAATCATTTGCATGATCTCTGTCTAAAAAGAAGTAGACAAGGAGTGCTCTAAAATGTTCTCTTTGACAGACCAAAGTTCTGTCTCTATTATAGTTTTCTAATTTATTCAAAATTGAATACCCTGAGAGTGAGGCTGGAACAGGATTAGCAATGGCATTACGCAGACCTCCCTTTTCCATGTCAAACAAAGGAAAGGAGAAGGAGGGAGATGTCTGCACTTCTCCCGTAAGATCAATTGTAGAATTGAATGAACTTTTAAAGAATGTACAAAAACCCTCAAGTTTGATTAACACTCTACCTTGTTATGTAGTTACACTTGGGAAGGAAAGGTGGAAGAAGACAGTGAAGTTTTACTGGTAAGAAAATGTTAAAACAGTATAATGTCAAAGCATGATCATTTTAAGAAAATACTGTTTTTGTTGGACGTACTGTTGAATTACTTAATATGAATAGCTATGACTTTGTTACTTTTTTTAGACTAATTTATTAAACATCATTCAACAAAACATTACAATAAACTTTACAATAACAGGGCGGCAAAAAAGGAGGCCAAAAAAAAAAAAAAAAAAAAAACACAAACAAACAAACGCAAGAAAGCGAAATACCAAAGTTCAACATGACTTTGTCACTGGCTAATAAATGTCTCACTCCTCAAATGAATACACGATACTGTGTTACTGAGTGCCTCAGAGCATCAAAAGTTAAAGGGAAGTAAAAATTTATCAGTCATGAGTGCAGAGGAACTCCCAGTTGAAAAACATTTGGAACATTTGTTGTCTTTTCATGCACCACAGAATTTCAATGAAACCATAGCTTTGGTTTATGAGCTGATATAGTAACATGCCATTTCAAAGGGTGTTTGAGCTGACTATTAATTTGGTAATTATTGTCTGACTGGTCCTTATGGTGCATTCAAAGAATGTATAGTCATCCTCCCACGTTGTAACAAAAATTACATTAGTATAGGTAATAGCATGATTTGTAGTGATATTTGGCATAAATACCACGAGTGATATTTCAAAATTGTAATTTCACGAGCTGTTAGGCGAGTGAAATTTGAGATAATTTTGAAATATCACGAGTAGTATTTATGCCAAATATCACGTACAAATCATGCTATTATTTGTTTATACTACTACCCGAAAAAGGTTTGTAATTTTCACATGTAGGTATTTCAAATTAAATTTGAAATACCACTGCTCTAAGCCAATCAGATTGCGGAAATTTCTCATGTAGTAGTATAACCATGTTTATACAACTTATCCTCTTGCATACCTTCCTGAATTTAACTGAGATTTGTCAAGTTTCATGTAGTAATATATATTTACTTATTTATTTATGATTTTTTGTGTTTTTGTAGATGATTAAAACAAGAACAAGCAGAGTTACTGATCTCACTGAATATGTCAGGTATGTACTGACTGCTGTTCCCCGCATGGTTCCCACCCCCAGCCACTCCTATGAATTTGTACTCAGGTATGATACACACAGCAAACTGCAAGGACTGAGTGTGGCCCAGCACAGAATAGACTTGTGTACAAGGCCAGGAAAGGGATGCAATGGGTAGGGTACTATTTAATAGTACAAGGGACGTTCAAAAGAGGCCAAAAGAAGAGAACATTGACCCGGGATGTAACCCAAAATAAGTCTCCTTCTCCTCTAAGAAAGTCCCACAAAACTTTGTGAGCCAAAAAATTCCTTGGAAAATAAAAGTTCAAAACCCCCCTTAAGATATTTCTACTTCCCTGCTGCTATCTTGCAGGCTCAGGTATCTTAATTTACAGTACCTCATTTACCAGTAGTCTATGTTCACCCTACACTGGATAGCTTTTGCTCTGGCAAGATAACCATACTGGATAGGGCTTCTGTTCACATATAAAAACATTGATTTCGGTGTGATTTCTGTAACGGAACAATGCTGTACTTCACCAATTTCTGAGATGAAGATTCACATATGATATCGGATAGTTGTTCACACTATACTAGATAGCTTTTCCTGTTGGCACAGACAGCTATCCAGTATAGGGTGAACATGGCCTTAGTCATATGAAGCTTAGAGCGGTTTTCATTTGACTGTCGAAAGGGATTGGTTTTGGTTTTGGTTTTGGTTTCACTACGCCCTTTGGTTGGCTAGTGTATTTAGTTTGGTTTTGGTTTTACGACAGTCAAGTGAAAACCGCTCTAATCCACCGTACCTAAAAAGATGGCGACTGGTACACTTACCCACAGTTCTTAGTGCATGAAAACCATAAAATTGCTCATAAGAATGCGCAGAAAAGTTTTATAAATTTCAAACCTAGGATAGGCAATGTTGCTATTACAGGGACGAATTTTGCCTCCCCCCCCCCCCAAAAAGGACTTTATGTGTAATTGGCCGTGTTAGGTTCAAAAGGAATTTGTGGTAAAATGTACAACGGCCATCATTTTCCATACGGCAGATTGAAACTAGCTTATGTTTGTTTTGAAAAATGTACAGCTGATGGTGCCCTAGAAATTTTGTCAAAGAATCCTGGTTTTTCCATGATATGACTATGAGAAAACAATTGACGTTCAACAACACATTTCATGAAAGAAGGTAGCTTTTCAGACCAGGAGCTAATATCTTATTAAAAGCGAATCTAAAACAAACTTTTTTCCACGGTTATTTATCATGAAAAATATGACATCTTTTTAATTAAGCTTACTGTGTTTCAAGAAAAGCAAGGTTGGATTAAATGTAAGTTCATTTGGATCTCTGCTGCTAACAAACTGCATTTTCTAAAAGCCCCAAATAAATGCTTTTTGTCCTTATTATATTTTCTTCATACCTTCACTATAGGCTCAGTGCCTTTATCTATTATTAAGCCAGGGTTTTTACTTTTTGGATGACCATTGTAGGTTGGATTTTGTTATTTCATACCAGTTTCTTAAACAAAATAATGGGAACTTGAAGAAAGAAAAAAGAACTGCATTGCAACACAATCCTAGGCTTACAAATTAGGTATCTATTATTTACATTCTCATATTGCAGAAAACAACATCCTTATGAAGTACCTGAAGTCATCAGTATGAAGGTAATGACAGAGTGGATTGCACCTCTAACAAGATTGGCTTGCTTTTTGTTTATTTTATATTCAAGTATCTTACGTTTATAGATAGGATGTGTCTACAAATGATAATATGGAAATGGTGAGAAACCACTGTATTCACGTGACTGGTGTGGCCGACAGCTGATTACTAAAAGCACTGCCAATCAGAATTTTCTTTTCTTTTTTAACTCATTCGCCCCGACCGCCTGACCCACGTCCCTTCGACCGCTTGTGACGTCATCAGTTTTAACGGTCAAGGACAACTTTGTCAACTAACTTGTGCAGGGTGAAGAGACCTTAAAGTAAAACCATACCAGAATAAGTACGAGTCAGTCAAGGACGCCGGTGAAAAAGGCAAACATGTAACGTTGACCCAAAAATTCCCCTGAAAATCTTGTCCCACTACCCACCTACCTTTCCTTTCATCTAATCCGAAGATCCTTAAAGTTCCCCCAAATTTTTTCAATCAAAATGAAGCTTACCGAACTTCGGAAGCTAATATTTTGCATCTGGATCAGAAGACCGCCAAGTTTACGACCAGGAAACGGCTTTGTGGTAAGTTTAAAATCTCTATAGCCGGACAGTGACCAGAAAAAGGCTCGACTAGCTTCAAAACGCGTTTTTCGGCAAGATTTCCAGGAGCGAATGGGCGAATGGGTTAGCGTTTAGGGAACATCATTCCTGTCAAGTTGCTTTGATACTACATGTACATGTATTGACATCTGGACCTTGTGTGTAGGGGATCATCAGGTTTCGTGTGCAGGACAATCACAATCGTAGCCAACAAACTGTAGAGAAACATAGTTCACCTTCTAAACGCTGTTTTCTCATTGGTAAAACCACTTCATAATAACATCCTTATGTCTGTCTAACCCAGTTTTTAGGGATCTCCAGCTTGTAGTTGAATTTGAGGAAAATGAACTATAATCCCCTCCCTCACACTCCGCCCCCTATCTATCAACCTTTCCCTGCATTTTGCAATACGAATTCTATTAATTTATTTTTCTTTCCTTGGCTTTCAGCTTGGTGAAGGAAATCCAGCTTATCTGCAATGGATCAGTGAAACTGTCCCTGAAAAGTGAAGAAAACGACTTACTTTCACTTTACCCTCACTAATAATTATAGTAACATAAAAACAGGAAAAAGAGTATTTATGGTCATTACGCGGGTGTCTTTGTTAAGGTGTTTGATATACCCATTTTAATCAGATGGAAAAAATATAAATACTAGTTTGTGAAACAGTCTGTGTGCCCTTGTATCTGGCGGTGATTGTATGACATTTACTTTTCCTTGCTTGAGATGGCAAATCATTTTAGGCATGAAACTGGTTGACACAAATGACACCAATGTACTCGAATACCCGCAAAACGTTAATGGTATTGAGAAGATACTTGATGACAGACTTTGCAGAGAGAGCGGCTGGGGCCATAATAGGCCATTTGCACTAACAGGTCATGTGACATCGTTTTTATGAAAATGAAAGTTATATGATTTTACCTTCGAAAAACGATTAGTGGGTCATGTCTTAAACAAAAGAATAGTGATTTGGTTTTTCACACCCGCACCATTTTCTTAAAATGAGTAAGTTCGTAGCCGGTCACGTGACCAAAATGTGGTTTTTAAAATTAGGAATTACATCTTTCCAAACACAAATTTTTCACTTAAAGTTCAAGGGAAATGTTGAAAAGATGATGTGGTAACGTTTACAGCACATCTGAGCGTAACTAACAAACGTTCAACAAGATATAAGCAAAAAGTAGTTTTGGCCGCCATGTTGGAGGGCAAGAGTATGCCCTCCAACATGGCGGCCAATACAAATCATACTGCTTTGTTGAAAAATCAAAGTGCCATAAAATATCTCTTAAATGCTTTTCCTCTCAAATTTCGGGTGTAAGATAATTTTTATGTGCTCTGTCAATTTTTGGCATCAGCAAGATTCCAACTCATCGTTTTAAGGAAGCATTGGTCACGTGACCTCTTAGTGCAACTGGCCTATTCACTAAACAAATATGGGCGTGAATGTTTCGCGATATCAAAGGGAATATATGAAATTTCATAATTTCACGGGAAAGATCATCGCAGTTACATACGCAAGTTATATCTTTATCTTCTACGAGTATATTGCAAACTCACAAACTGACCATCTCCCATTTGCCTTGATAGCTCAGTTTGGTAGAGCACTGCACTATTATTACATGTGTCATGGGTTTCAATCCCCTTTCAAGCCCAAATTATTTTCAGACTGTCTTTGCGCAATTGCATAAACTGCAATGATCTTTCAGGTGTTAAATTTATTGTCAATGGTGTTGGGGTTTTTCGAAGAGCAAACGATGTTCTTTTTTCCTCGTTTACATTATCCTAGACGACCAGCAAAACTTTAAGTGAAAAATTCGTAATACCAACCCAAGAGACTTAAAATCATTGCATCTAAGATATGATAACAAAAACAGTGTGTTCAACAGGAATAAGCTTATAACGCCCTTATGCCACACATACATTTTGCTATTTCCAAATTCCAAAAACTCTCGCTTTCAAAACGAGGCTAAGTGCAAAGCAGGGGAGGGGGGAAGAGACGAGGTCTGGGACCGAGAAACGATGTTCTCACAACTTGCAAAGCGGTCACCCAGCGTGGTGGTCAGCGGATAATTACAGTATTTTTCCCACAGTAAATATTTTAGAAGCAAGAATTGAATCGAACCGGCAGAGGAAATCAGAAATGCTTAAAAAATTGAAAAAAATTATATCATGCAACTTTGTTTTTCTTGCATATAGTATTTGTCTTTCGGTACTGAAATGCGGGGGAAACTAAAACGCAACCGTGCTAGATCTTAACCAAGAACAACGCGCTCGATGGATCTATTTATAGGTTACATCGTTTTTGCCGGGCAAGGATAACTTGATGCTGATATAAAAAATTACTGGAGCAAGTGTCAAATTTCTCGGAAGCAAGTATATTCAAGAAAGCTTTATAAATATGAGCTTACTGCTCCACATATCATAACTGAATAAAAATTAACACGTCGTAACATTTCACTTCGTTTATTTCGATCAGTCAACACCTTGAATCCAAGGTTAAAATTCAAAACGATCCTAAAACAAATCAAAACTACTACTGAAAGCTCTGTACCTTGAAGCGACTTTAACTTTCCTTAGGTTTGCAGCAAAACACTGCTCGATAGCTCAACTCTTCGGCGGCCTTTTCTTAGCAGCTATACGGAGCTAGCTATATGTTGCATATTCCAAACTCTGCAAAGGGAAATTGTTTAACAGAACAAGAAAACCACCCACTATGTTTGAAAAGCGACATAAAATCAATAAATTTGCGAATTACCAAAATATAATAGTGAGAAACAGTCCCGCCTTCGACTGCCATGTTTTTGTTTTTTCTCAAGACCGTTGATCTATGGTTTTTGACGTAATGCGCATGATCAGTACACAAATCCGCTGGCAAGACCCTTGCTGATCGCTTTGCAAGTACCCAGACGTCTCTCTGTCGATGAAAATGTGCGCGCAAAGGAAGGCGGGAAGGACCCTTCCGATGGTTCCTTGCGGTTCATCACCAGTCACTCGCGTTTCGCGCTCGCCTCTACGACGCGAAAAACGAAGCGCCTGAGGAGGAGGCTGGTATTATTTGCATGAGAATATAAAATCATTTTTATATCAAGGGCTTCGCACAATAGCCTGGCTTTGAAACAGAGGCTTGGGGCAACTTGGAAATCACCTTTTCGTGAGTGTTGTTTGACTACAGCAAATCATTTCTTGCCCACTTTTAACACTCCCAGTGAGATTCCAAGAACAATGGCCCTAATTTATACACGAAAACAAAAACAGTGTAGGATTCTAGTAATTGCTGTCAGCTCAAAATCAAAGTCGATACCTTGCAAGTAGTGGTTGTTACATTTAACAATTATTCTTTCAATTCGAGGTGAATAGTGGCTGTTCACCGAGATTGAAAATAATAATTACTTGGGATGTCTTCTGATTTTTATGTTTAGTATTGATTTGTTGTTTGCAATCAAAAGGGACGCGTATATCTTCAACAAAACAGGATGATTCTGTAGGTCAGCTGGTAGGTTTCTGACGCATCAGAAGTTCGACAAGTGGGTGATGGCTGGAGAAAAGAGGCAAACATGTTGGCCGAAACTTCACATTGAAACCGAGTACGAAAGCCAGCTCACTGCAATTCGGTAAAAAAGAAATATAAACAAATCTTGGTGGCAAGAAAAAAATAAATAAGCGACGGATATATGGCCTACTTGTTAACGCAAGAGACGTCTGCCATTGAACAAAACAGTTCAAGTCGAGATGGGAAAAAGGAAGACAGGAAAGAAGTGGTGACTGAGGTCTCGATGAAGGTATGTTTGCAAATTGGTTTTTGTTTGCCAGGACGTTATTCTCTGGTCTTTATCGATGAAGGACATTAATTAGAACTATTTTTTTTAGTATAAATGCAGGAGCGATCGAGTGGAGTACGCTCAAAATTTCAACTTGTTACTCGGCAGACTCAGTAAGCCCGCCACATATCATTTCAGCGAGTAATTTTCGTATTTCATATCTTTGGCTGTTAATAGTTTTAACTTTATGTTCCATAATATTTTAAAAGTGAAGAATACATAAATAAATAAAATGATGGTCTTATTAAACGGATCCGGACTCGAGTTTAATGGTTCGAAACAGAAGCTTGCCGTGTTCAGTCCTGACACAAACATTGCCTTAAAAGTTTAACCTAGTAAAATGTGAGCTTTATACCACTTTTTTACCAAGAGCTCTACGAGATAATGCCCTAAAGGAGACCAGGCAAATAGCAAGCCATACGATTCACACACTACAGCTTCTAATTTTGATAAAAATATCTTATTTCGCAATGACAAAGAAATAAAAAAAATTCTGGTAAGCTCTACCAACGTACCTCTAACAATTCACTCCAAAGCGACGGAATTAATATCATCCAAAGGAAGTTGTAAATACAGACATACATATATACATAGATATGTATAAAATGACACTGACATGAATGAATGAGCCTCGTGAATGAATCTTTCACCCGCTCCCGACTTGACCAGTTTTGTGTAATGGAGGAGGTCTCTTCCGTTGACAAGTACGCAATATATCCCTCGCTTATTTCTTTATTTCTTGCCACCAACATCTGCTTTTATTTCTGCTTTACAGAATTGCAATGAGCTGGCTTTCGTATTCGGTTTCAGTGTGGAGTTTGGGCCAACATGTTTGCCGCTTTTCTCCAGCCATCGCCCACTTGTCAAGCTTCTGATGCGTCGGAAACCTACAAAATCATCTTGTTTCCTTGAAGATATACGCGTCCCTTTTGATTGCAAACAGCAAATCAGTACTAAACATTAAAAGCAGAAGACATCCCACGTCATTGTATTGAAAAAGTCGTCCATACAAAGTTATTTTAGGTGGAATCCCTGCTAAACACGCTGCAAGTTCACTAAAAGTCTTCATTTGCAATTTTTGTTTATCCTCTAACGCCTCGCTTTCATGACTACGCACCAGTTTTTTCCCGCGTGTCCGCCATTTGTGAATACGGTGTATCCCCGGACAAAACCAAAATAGCATATTCATAGCAAATCTCAGTGTAATCTTATCAAACGTGCCAAACACTCACGCAAATCGCTCATAGGCGCTAGTTACCCCGGGCTAGTTATACGTGCAGTACACTTTTTTGCACATCGTAGTACGTGCAGACGATTCTCTCAAAACCAAAATTTCTTGGATGCACTTTGGGCGCTTTCCATTCACCCAAAACCTAAGAAACTTTGGAAACAGCGGCAATTGGTACAGTATTTTCCCGGAAAAGTTCCCAGACTTCCGGAAACGTTTCCGAAATGCGAACCGTTCAACCAGAAATTTTAGACATTCGGGAGCAAAGTTGAATGCGGAAAGAAAACTTCCCGATGATCATTTTCGAAAATTTGGGTATATATTGCCAAAATGCTGTTCCATTCGGTACTGCACGGAAGTTGCCGAAAATTTAAACCAGGCGTTTTGATTGAATGGAATGGCGCCCAAAGGTAACCAAATTTGTTACCAATTGTGCTCCCTTTGCGCGCGCGAGAGAGAGCTCCACTACCAAAGTTTCTCAAGTCAAATTTTCCTTTAGTATGGTCAATGAAGTCATGATTCAACCTGACTGACTACTGGAGGCAAAAGCTTAGCTTTCACCTATTTATTATCCTGATATCAGTTTAA